GAGCTGCTCCAGCCCCTGAGCATCCTGGTGGTCTCCTCTGGGCTCATTCCAACAGCTCCACGTCCTGATGTTGAGGACACCAGCCCTGCACACAATTGGGGTCCACTTCACCCCGTCCTCTCTCCCCACAGGCTCTGGGTGGTGGATACCTGCACTGGGGCCACTTGGAGATGATCCGCTTGACCATCGGGCGCAACATCGACCCCAAATCCATGTTTGCCATCTGGCGGGTGCCCGCTCCCTACAAACCGGTGACGAAGAAGAGTCTGGGCCACCGGATGGGAGGTGGCAAAGGCCCCATCGACCACTACGTGACAGCGGTGAAGAGCGGGCGCCTGGTGGTGGAGGTGGGAGGACGCTGCGAGTTCGGGGAGGTGAAGCCCTTCCTCCTGCAGGTAGCCAGGAAGCTGCCCTTCCCCGCCGTCCCCGTGAGCAGGGACAGCCTCCAGCAGATGAGGCAGAAGGAGGAGGAGAAGAAGCTCAACAACCAGAACCCTTGGACCTTCGAGCGCGTGGTCACCACCAACATGCTGGGGATGAGGAGGTACCTGAGTCCCTACGACCTGCGGCTCCAGGGGCGCTACTGGGGGAAGTTCTTCCTGAAGCACAGGGTGTGAGAGGGGTTGAGGGAAGGGGGAGCTTCAATTAAAGCTTCCCGAGGGATCCCGCGTTGGATGGTGTGGTCTGTGGGGCTGGGACGCCATGGAATGGTTTGGGATGAAGGGACCTTAAAGCTCCTCCAGCTCCAACCCCTGCCCCGGGCAGGGACACCTTCCACTAGAGCAGGCTGCTCCAAGCCCCTGTGTCCAACCTGGCCTTGAACACTGCCAGGGATGGGGCAGCCACAGCTTCTCTGGGCACCCTGTGCCAGCGCCTCAGCACCCTCCCAGGGAAGAGCTTCTGCCTCAGAGCTCATCTCAGTCTCCCCTCTGGCAGGTTCAAGCCATTCCCCTTGTCCTGTCCCTCCATCCCTTGTCCAAAGCCCCTCTCCAGGTTTCCTGGAGCCCCTTTAGGCACTGGAGCTGCTCTAAGGTATCCCCTTGAGGAGCCTTCTCCTCTCCAGGCTGGTGCAGGACTGCAGGGGGGGTCTCCCCAACGCAGCCCCCCAGGGCAGAGCTTGGGTGATGTCTTTATTCAGGAGGAGGCTGCACATCCAGAGAGCCCCTGGGATGGAGAAGTCACCCCAGACACGGCTCCAGGCGAGGGGAGAAGCTTCTCCTCCTGCTCTGAGCAAGGCAGGAGCCTTTATGTCACCCCAGGGAGGACCGTGGCTCCTCTGTGCCACTGCTGACCATGGGCCAAACAGGGGATGAAGAGCAAAGCGGGGACCTCAGAGCCTTCCCCAGGGATGGGAGGGAACTGGGATGCAGGGCGGGTGGTCTCCGTTCCTCTGGGATACGTGGGCTGCAGCACAGGGATGTCCTCATGGCTCTGGGGACAAGGGCTTGGCAGGTCCCGGGGCGCCTCCAATGGCTGGAGCCACAAGTGGGATCATCCAGGCGCAGGGGGGGGAAAGGCCACCTGGAAGGGGAGGAAGATGAGGAACGTCGGAGCTCTGTCCCCATCCCTCCCTGCTCTGGGTACCCGGGGACACCCAGTCTGTGCTGGTGCTTTATGGTGACCCAAGGGGGTGAACCCCCTAAGGATGAACCCCCTGAGCTCCAACCCTGGGCACAGGAGGGTGGCAGGGACCCCAATTGTCCCCCTCCCGACGGGGGGTGCCTCACCTGAGGGCAGCAGTTGGGGCTCAGGCGAAGATGCTCCCGATGCTGGCGGCCAGGATGACGGCCAGGATGATGCAGCAGATCATGATCATGATCTTCTTCTGCAGGACGAGAGAGGGACCGTGAGGGTGGCACAGGGCAGGGGACAAGGGCCCTGGGCTGGCAGCAGGGAAGGTGGGAGCTGGCTGTGGAGCACCGGGATGTGGCTGCGCTGGTGATGCCCCATCGCTGTGACTTACCCAAACCCGTCATGGAATGGGTTGGGTTGGAAGGGACCTGGAAGATCCTCTGGTTCCAACCACCGGCAG